TTAGGCATAATAATAATTTTTTTGACTAAAGATTTAACTAATTTAAGTGAATTCTTTGATCTATTTTTTTTTTAACAATAATACTCAGATTCTAAATCGGCTAGATCGTTATAAAAATAAAATCGTGCAATGATAACCTTGGACACCCTACTTAGGTTGTAACTTAGCCTAAAATGTATCAACAAAAATAATGTTTCAGATATGCAAGAATTATCTAATTGTTATTAAGATTAGATCAATTTTCATTTAGTATTATATGTAAAATTACATTGCATCTTCGGCATTTTTTTTTTTTTGTTTATTACCTTCACACTCTGCATTATTTTGCATAATTCTAACCATTTTCAAAAATTTGAATCTGCATCCTAACCAAAAAGAAAGCAAATAATAGCTATTCTAGAAAATTTTATATAATGACTCGCCCGAATCGATTCAACCAATAATAATAAAATTATCATTAGTACTTCCCTCCTAAAAAAAAAAAAATGAATAGATCACTCAGCTGAATCGACTTAGCTGATAATTATAAGCTGTCCTAGAATAGATATAAAGACTATCCTGCTAGGGTAGCTCACGGAATATACAGTAGATATGACGAACCAATTTTGTAGCTCAAGAAAAGAAAAAAATAATAAAACTAAATTGGGTAGGGTCTTGGGCATGGTTCGAATTAATAAGCAAAAGAAGGCATGAAATCAAAGAAAAAATAATAACTGAGATAGAAATAAAAGTTTACCAATTCTAAAAATAATCTTTCATAAAAAAATCTAAAAGTATAAAAAGAACATCTGAAAGATTAAAATTCATCTTATCAAGTTAGTAATAACTTAACAAATAACTTATAAAAGTACTATATAGCCTTCATCAACCAAACCTCTTTTACATTTGATTATAAAAGTATTATAAAGCCTTAACTCGCTTTATACATTGAAGTTCCTTTAAATTAAAATCTATAATCAGTTTTTTGTTATAATACTATATTTCGTGCTTTTAAAATAAATCATGTCTTTGTCCCTACCTTCAGTTGGTTCATTTGCAAGTCGTGAGGATCTTATTAATCATGTTAAAACGCATGCCTTCAATCATGGATACGCAGTGAGCACTAAAAGATCTGAAAAAGACAAGTTTGTCTATTTGAAGTGTGACAGAGGCAGTCACTATAATAATAGGCTAAATCTTATTGATGAAACCCGTCAAAGAAATACAAGTACAAGACTAATAGATTGTCCTTTTGAGCTCTATGGAAAAAAAATGGAGGATGGTCAATGGCATTTAACAATTAAAAATGCAAATCATAACCATGAAGCATCGGAAGATATCTCAGGCCATCCATCCAGTCATCACTTAAATAAAGATGACCAAAAAAGAGTTCAAGAAATGTTTATAGCAGGTATCTATCCTTATGAAATACTTTCTACTTTTTGTCAAAGTAATCCCGATAGTTTAGTAATCTCTAAAACTATCTACAATGCCAGAGATAAGGTTAGGCGTGATAATCTTCAAGGTCGTACTCCAATTCAGGCCCTTCTTGACAAGCTTATAGAAGGAAATTTTGAATATGATTATCAATATGATCAAAGTGGCAATTTAACACATCTTTTCTTTGCACATCCTAAGTCAATTGTACTTACTAAAACTTATAACTCTGTTTTATTGATAAACTGTACATATAAAACCAACAAATTTAAAATGCCATTGCTTTATGTTGTTGGCATGACAAACTTTAATATCACATTTTCCTCCTGTTTTGCATTTTTAAAATCAGAACAGAAAGAAGATTATAATTGGGCACTCACTCGTGTTGCCTATATTTTTGATGATATCTCAAAGTTTCAAGTCATTGTAACCGACCGTGAACTAGCTTTGATGCATGCTATACGAACTATATTTCCCGAATCACATAATCTTTTGTGCATTTGGCATATTGAAAAAAATATGTTAATTAACTGCCGGCGACATTTCTCAACAAAGGGCGAATGGTCCATATTTTTGGAAAGTTGGTCCACCCTTATAAAGTCCAAGACGGAACCTGATTTTGAAAATAATTAGAAAAAGTTAAAGAAGAAATATAATGAGAAAACAGCAGTTATTGCTTATTTGCAAGATACATAGTTGCTATTTAAAACACATTTTGTACACTCTTGGGTAGATCGTTACTTGCACCTAGGTATTTAGTTTTTTTTTTTTTTTGGTTTCTAAGCTTTTTCAGTCTTTTTTTCTCTTATTCTTTCGGCATTCTTCCAAATTCCCTTATTTATTTTTTCTGAATCTTATCTTTTATCAAATTTTTTTTTTTTTGGCTTCTTGTAGGTAATTTGACAACATTGAAAGTTGAAGGGGCCCATGCTGCACTTAAGAGATATCTTCAAGTATCAGTGGGTAATCTTCATGCCATCCATGAAAAAATCTCTTTGGCGTTAGAGAATCGATACCAGGAAATCAAAACCATGATCTCCCAAGAGATGATTCAAATCCCTCAGGCCCAAAACAAATCATTTTATGCACAGGTCGTCACTAAGGTGTCGACATTTGCATTAAAAAAGGTTCACGAACAATTCTTAAAGGCATCTAGTGTAACACCAGAAAATCCGTTACAACCTTGCAGTGATGCTTTTAAGTCATCGATGGGTCTACCCTGTTCTCACATAATTCAGGAACTTCTTAAAAAAAATAAATGTTTAGAACTTAGTGATTTTAATCAGCATTGGTGAATTCAGCAGCTACAATTACCTTAGCAAGAATTGTCCGAAGCTGATGACTCTTTACAACAAAAATGAGAAGAGTATAGGCAGCAATTTGAATCTTTACATTTTCATCAAAAAAGTGAAGTTCTAGAAAAGATGCCGAGTGTATTTCAAGAATCAAGTATAGCGATACAAGATCCAGAGGTACAACACACAAAAGGATGTTCAGTTGAAGTGAAAAACCATCCTCAATTGTTAACTAAAAGAGATCTATCTACCTTTGAATTGGTTATGGAAAAGCAAAGGAAATGTGGTTTATGTCATGGAACTGGGCATAATAGTAGGATGTGCCCTAATGCAGAAAGTGAAAGCAGTAAAAGTAGTCAAAGGAAATGTGGTTTATGTCATGAAATCGGGCATAATAGTAGGACATGCCCTAATGCAGAAAGTGAGAGTAGTGACAGTAGTTAGACTTAGCATAAATGTTTTTATTACTCTAGACACCAAAAAAAAAAAAAAATTCTTAATAGAAATATAAAGTCCTGTTTAACTTTTAAAATAAAAATAAATGAAAATTAATATTCTAAGATAGTTAGTATTTCAAAATCACTACTGACCAAAATTAAAAAAAATTCAAGGTATGTACGTACCTTCAATTAATTGATTCTAGAGTCTTAACCTTAGATTTTTTGCCCTGTGCAAGGATATAATACTAAAATTGAATAAGCATAAATAGGTTTGTGATATGGGTCAGTCTTTACTGTTATAAGGCTTCAAGACTTTTTAATCAAATCTGGGTTATGTTCTTAAGCAGCTTAAGAACATAACCCTTTGATCATAAAGTTCCGAAGCTCTATAACGATAAAGACTGACCCATATATGGTCTAACTCTCATTGTTTATATCAGACATAAAGTAGAAAATGTATACTAGCTTTCTTTAGCAGTATTATAATTGTATTAATAATAAACGCTTAATATAGTAAAGTAGAAAACCTTTTATTGGTTTAGTCACAACTTGAAATATAAATCACTAAACTAAAATAGTACTTTCTATGTAACTATATTAAGTGATTCTTATACATAGGTATCGGTATGCCCACCAAATTTATTTGTATAATACTCTACTGCTGAAAAAAAGCCACTTTCGTCGTTTTTACAATTCCAACTTAGATCTTTCATTCTGTACAACTATATAATACAGAAATTGACAAATGCAAGAAAGATCAGTTATACAAATAATACATAGTGCATTTAAACTTTATAACCAACTTGAAAGTCAAAAAAAGGTTTGCATAGGGTGGATCATAGTATATGATCTAAATCTGATATAGAGGGTATACCTCAATTGTCGATTTCAAGGCTCTAACCTTAAATTTCTTATAAAAGAGTATTAGAGTATTATACTAAATCGAGTAGGTATAGACAAGTTTAGTGGGTCACATAGGTGAATTCACGGTATATGAGCTAACTCATTTGTGATCGTTTGTTCGTATTAGTTAGAACGATAGTTTAGTATAATTTTTTTTATTTTATATAAAATTTTTTGTTACGCATGGTTACTGTAAATAGGCATATAAATGACCTGGGTATGTTACATTTCACCAGTTAAAAAACTTGAATTATACCCAGGGAGTATATTGATTAGAGAAGTATAAATTACTAATAAAAAAACCTCGGGTCTCTTAAGGTATAATAGAAGGTATTTTTATATGACTATTCATACTAATTTTATTCACGTAGTTGTTATTCGGAAATATACAGATAACTTGTAAATCACATGGTGAAAATAGCAATTTACCATAGTGGAAATAGGCGATCCCTAATTTAAACAGTCATATTAATATTTTATTAAAATTCTTGATATTATACAGATTACAGAAAATTTTTCTAATACTTAAATTTAACATCATCTAATCACCTTATTGGTATCTAAGTATAATCTGTTGCATTACTCTAAACAGAAGTAAACTGCTTATTTGACTGCCACTTTACAATAGGATACTACCAATCTGATGATATCTTTTTATAAAAAAACAAAAAAACAAAAAAAAAGATTTTATATGCAAAAAAAAACAGAAATATAAAGGTAAATAATAAAAGATACAAAACAAAAAATAAAAAGCAAAAGAGTAATATACTGCTGACTGTTTTAGTAATATTATATATTGATCTTTAGGAGGATGTAAACTAAATTACTCACTTTTACAAAATTTTTCTTAAAAAAAAAGTAAAAATGATAAGTGAACTAACTTTTTAACTTTTATAAGTTTTTAACCCTTGTAAATGTTTTTTGTAGATTTTACAGTTGTATAAAACTAATATATTCAACTTTATTGTTTGCTTGATAAGAAATTTTGGCTTTTACCAACTACTTTTTCTATAAATCCAAAGTGCTCTTTAAACTATTACTACAAGGCTGTGACTCTTTTTCAACTCTCTTTCAATGTTCAACAATGTGTGTATAGTATTTCAGAAAGGTTTTTATAAAGTTTAATATATTAACTATATTATTTTTTTGTAGTTTAGCTTTTTGAAAAGTTTGGTTCAAGTGATTATTAGAAAGTGTTGTACAAGTTTATATAATGCATAACTAATATACAATAAAGAAAATAGTTATTATTAACCTTAGCAAAAAAATTTTTTTTGAGTTAATTTTCTTATTTTCAAAATTATTAGTTAATAGTTTTTTTTTTTATTAATGTTAAGGCAAGTAATTGTAACCCAGGAGTTTATTGATAATCAGTTGGCATATAACTATTGTATACAATAGCTACAGAGGCAATCATGAAAAGAATGTACAACTAGTTACTCATACAACTTTAGTTATTGTCTATTTTAAGTAGTTCACCCAAAGGTTCTATACTAGTTGCCATATCTAGAACTCACCTGTGGGTTCTCTATTTAAACATTCTAGTTTCTGTATATATCTCTACCCTATCAACTGCAGCCATTGCTGCAAATATACCATGGTCACTAAGTCATATTTAACTTTATACTAAGCCCACCGAAGCCTTCTGTATCTCATACTTACAGCTGATCTAGTACTGCTTTGGCCTAAACTATCATTTGCAGTCAGGGCTAACTATTAAACTGCTATATCCTTGTAAAGTTTACAGAGACCCTGATACCTTTCTTTTCTAACTTCCACATCCCTATTTCTAGATCTACAAAACCCACAAAACTTCCCAAACTACCAATCCAGATGGCCTATCTGGCAAACTCAGTAGTCTGGTTAGTATGTGTTCCTCTACACATGTTGTCATCTGATCCATTCGAGGTCCTAGTAATCTTTTTTTAGAGGCTTCTGATAGTCAGTAATATCATCGAAAGTCCATGCTACCTCTTTACTCAGGATTTCCAAGTGAGTTTCTGACTCTTCGGTTTTTTTGCTTTCTATACCCAGTGGTCTTATCATGGGTTTGCATTGAAGTCTTATGCAATATTAGTTATTAACATTCCTCTATGTGGGTGTAATGTTACATTTTGCATAGATGTCCCAAGCTCTCATTCGAGATGATGCAACAAAGGTTACAGATACACAAATTTAACTGATTAACAGAAACAGTTACTATAATACAGACCTTATTTTTCAAAATTCGTCGTCTATGGGATTTGAACTTTAGACCTGCCACTTGGAGGTTGACAACCTGACCACTTCACTAGGTTGCCACACCCCTATTATTAGTTAATATTTGTTATTATTTACTAATAAAATTATATAAATTTACTAAAATATATTAATATTATTATATACTAAAGGGTATAGCAACTTAGTATAGTAAATAAGTTGTCATTCTTCAAGTAATAGATTGTAAGTTCAAAATCTACTAGAGATGAAATTTAAAAAAATACATCTATATTATGACAATAGTATTCTGTTAATTAGTTAGTATAAGATATTTGTAACTATGATTATATTAGCATAACTGGCAAATCAAAAGACATTTATATAATCTTGATTATATAATAAAATGCAAACTAGTACTAGATAGTACAAACTCAAGATAAGTTCTTGTGACTATATAAATCTGTAGAACTAAGTAAACCAAAGTCTATTTGAAAAAAAACCTAAGTAAAGAGGTAATATGGATCTTTAACAGTACTATTGTAAAGGTTAGATCTAAAAAATAGATACCAATATAGAAAATTTGAATAAGCAAGAATCTTAAATAAAGAATATCATCAACCAGACTACTAGAAGTATTAAATAATGAAAAAGAATATCAGACTGAAATTGGTATATTAAGGACATGTTATAGTCTTATTGAACTATCTAAATTGAAAGTCAGATATCAAAACAGATATATATTATAAATATTAAAAATATGCTGTAAAGTTGATACTAAGATTTAGATAAACTTTACAAAAATAAGCTTTGTTAATGTTCTATAAAAGTAGATAAACTAAATAACTAAGAAGTTTACAGAGTTTTATAGTTAAGTGATATATTCTGAAATATGTAATAGCTTAACAAACATACAAAAAGAAGGTCTAAATTAGGTTAGACAGCATTTAGATATATGAAAACTTATGCATTATCTGTTAAATGTAGTATAAAAATCAGTATATTTAATTAATTTATTTTTTAGCAGATTACAGATATGACAGCTAGTATAAAACTTATAAATGAATTACTTAAATAGGTAACAAAAAGTTACATGTATGGCTAGTCGCATACTTATTCTTTACAAGTTATATAATTATAATTAAAATACAATAAAGATGTTTTAATTAATAACTATTTATATAACAACTATAAAAAGAAACAAAAAATTGGTACTAAAATTTTAATTATATTAACTAAAATAAATTGAAAGTTACTAAAAAGAGAGGGATTATACTCTCAAAATACCTAAAACTTATTTAATATAGCCAAAAGACAAAGAACTTCAACCACTAAACTACAAGACTTCAAAACTTCACTTAACACTAACTCAGTGCTGTTATCTTTACAAATAAATTCTTACAAGGCCTTAGTTCAGTTAAATATTTTAGTTACACTTGTGACATCTTAAGCTTCTCAAAATGAAAGATCTAAAGAAAATAAAAAACTAGAATCAAAGTTTTCTTTTTCAAAAAAAAATAAAACTAACAACTCTAATTCTTCTTATTCCTTTACACCTTATTTATATTAAAAAAATTTAACAAAAAGTAAACAAACTAGTTTATCTCTTACAAAATCTCAAATAATATTACACATCTTAGTCATTAAAACAAATATGCCCAAACTGTTAAACTTTCTTATACTTCAAAATCTTTTTACTGCATTACCTGATTTATCATATTTGGTACCAGTATCCAATATATTTATTTCAAAAAACAACCTATGAAATCTTGAACTGGCTATGCTTTCAATAGCTTTATTATTTCAATTAACTTCAATATTAATTACCAATACTGACAACATAGATACTATCTCTAATACTTTTAATAATCATCAACTAGTAATTACTAAATCATACAGCAAAGC